CTTTAGCTCAAAGAGGAGTAGGTCTTCTTTATGTTTATAATATAGTCTAGCCACTCTACTGTGCTTTAGATCAGGCAGTGTGCTCTTTGAAGGTAACAACCCTATAATTTATTCTGTATCCCTAATTTCTGCAAGTTACAGATACATATTATAGGTACTCAGTGAAGACATGCTGAATAAATAAACAGTGGAATCAAATAATAATCAGTCAATGAATAGATATCTATTTGCTAGAAAATGTAAGGAGGCATAAAGAGTTTCTGTGTCATAACCAAAAAGCTCACTGAGCTCAGTTCCCTTAGTTCTAGTGCTATTTAAACTTATAACTGTTGCTTCATTAAAATGAACCCTCTGTGTCTGCGCAGACTTTCAGAAATCAAGAAATCGTTTTAAATAACTGATAACCAACTCAAGCATCAGAAAACATTTAGAAAGGACAATAAGTTAATAACATTTTTATTTAATAACTTTTAAGTAAATATTAGGGAAACAATGATTTGTATTGACCAAAATAACCAAAATGCAATGAAATCAATTGCTAATACACTTATAAGATGTTAAGATATTGAGAAAGTGACTTAATTTTGAAAAGCAAGCAAACAATTTTCTATTCCAGAAGTGGTGTTTTCTATTAAGACGTATTTATCTTTTTATTCAAAAAGCAATTATTGAACACTTACTGAATAAAACAGATTTCTGGGCTTGGACGTCAATGATGAGGATGTGAGTACTACCTTGAGGTGGTCAGCTTTGAGTGAGAAAAACACAAACCTGTACAACTAATGGTAATGCCCATTAGAATCTCATAAATTCCGTAGGCACCAGTGGGCATGCCTGCGGTTTCCAACACGGGCTATCTCTCTGTGTCTATATTCCCAGTTAAAATCCTGACTCATCTGTTCACAGAGGTCCAAAAATAGCATTTCCCAAAAACTTTTTAATTCATATGAAATTTAACAGCTCCATATGTTTTTGTTCAACTGAGAAAAGAAGGCTTACCTATTTCTCAAGAGGATCAAGAGTTTTTGCAGTTTCAACTCCCTGTAGGTCTATATTTTTATAAAGGATTCACACCAGTGCAAACTCAAGATTGTTCTTTTATTGTCTAACACTTCAAAGACAGATTTCTCCCCAAAATACAATATATACAACATGAAGCCACTTGCTTGCAAAAGTTGCTTAATGGGATTATAAAAACAACAACAAAATGAATCAGAGCAGTTTAAAAACTTAATCCCATTTTCTTCAAATAATTTAATTAAGAAATAAGGCCCTAACTGGTTTGGCTCAGTGGACAGAGCATAGGCCTGCAGACTAAAAAGTCCCAGGTTTGATTCCCATCAAGGGCATGTACTTTGGTTGCAGGCACATCCCTAGAAGGAGGTGTGCAGGAGGCAGCTGATCAATGTTTCTCTCTCATCAATGTTTTTGTCTATTCCTCTCCCTTCCTCTCTATAAAAAATTAATAAAATATATGTTTTAAAAAGAAATAAGGCTAATACTATTACGGACAATATACATATTTCCTGTTGATAAATAACTATGTAGACAAGTTTATTTTCTGTGATTTATTATTGATAACTGTGAAAATTGGAAATATAATATATTTTAAAAAGCCTGAACTATGGATATACTTGATCACAAATGGATGACAAATTACTTTAGATCTTTGTATAGTCTCTATAGCAAGAAATTGGGAGCAACCTAACACTGCTGGTGATTACATGAAACACCACAGCACAAGAATCTATGAGATGTCTTATGAAACCAGAAGCTTCCAAAGAACACATTTTGAAAGTAAATGCCAAATATTATATCTCTGAAAACAGTGCTACAGGAGAAAGAGAAAAAATAAATGTTATTAACAAATAAAAATTCTACATGCAAAGTAAATGAAGTATGGAGTCCCAATAGAAAGTTTCTGCTTGCTATAATATTTTTAAATTTTGGGAAGTTATAGACTATGCATCAGATTTTCTAGCTACTGAAAGCTCCTAGAAAGCAAACAATTCAGAGTCATTGGAAAGGTCACACTTCGGTTCTCTTTATTTCTTTGCTTTAAAAGAGCTCTTGTTAGAGCTACATTCTGTATCTTTACTCAAATATTGGGAGCTAATTTGAAAATAAATTCAACTTATACAAAGACTTTAGGGACTAAAAAAATAGCTGATGTTTTTACATTTTTAAAAAATAATTTTTAAGATCAGTGGGTTTTTTTTGTTGTTTTGTTTTGTTTTTATTTTGGGGTTGTTGTTTTTTTAATCCTCTCCCAAGGATATTTTTCCATTGATTTTTGCTTTAGAGGGAGTGGAAGAGAGAGGGAAAGACAGAGAGAAATATCAGTGTGAGGAAAACACATCTATCAGTCGCCTCCTGCACTAGCCCTAACCAAGGCCCCGGGCCAGGGAGGAGCCTGCAACAGAGTTACCTGCCCTTGACCATAATCAAACCCGAGATCCTTCAGTTACACATGCTGATGCTATCTTTATTCACTGTGCCAAACCAGCTAGGGCTAAATTCAGTTTTAATCTTGAACTATGTAAAATATGAACTTAATTTTAACAAAAACTCTTAAATAATTGTTGATTATTTTTTAAGTGTTAATGTCCCTAGTAAATGGTTAGGATCACAGTCATAAAGCTTGAAGAGGTAGGACCCAGGAATTCATTCATTTCCACCAGAGAATTATCACAGTTGCAACCGATTACATAAACATGAATCATGTATTCATTCATGAGGTACATATTTGGTAAAAGCCTGCCCTCAGCCACTTATTATTGTTAGTCCTACAGGGCAGCAGTGTGCAAATGAGACAAAGTAAGAAATGTATTCTAGTGGAGAGAGAGAAAAAGCATACCTGTCACATAGTTATTAGTATTAGATACCAAGAAGTGTTGTGGTGGAAAAAAAGAAAGACAAGGAAAGTTGAGGAGGCAGTGTGAGATAAGAAGAGGCTATTTTAATTAGGAGAGTCAGGAACATCCCCTTAAAAATGGCATTTTAACAAAGCCCTAGAGTTGTAAAGAAGTGTGCCAAGTGAATAATAAAGGAAGAACACTTTAGGGAGGGGTTTTTAGTGGCTGGGTGGTAAAGGCTTGGGTATTTATTATAAGAATTTTGGTGGGGTTTTTTGTTTGTTTGTTTGTTTGTTTGTTTGTTTGTTTTTACCACAAATGAAATGGGAAAACATTGAAAGATTTTTGTTTTGTTTTGTTTTATCTTGTTTTTAGCCAAGGCATGACATGATCTCACTTATATTTTTCAAATGTCACTCTTGGTGATGTTTTCAGAGTAAACATTTGAGGGTGATCTAAGTTGGAAGCTCTTGCAAGGCAAGAGGTGATGGTAGTTTGGGCCAGAGCGGTAATGGAGAGAACAGTAAGAAGTAATGAGATCCTAGAAGTGCTTTGAATGTAGAGCCAACAGAATGTGCTGACAGATTGGATGTGAAGTGTTGCACAAAAGATGATTCCAAAGATTTGGTTCTAATCAACTGGGAAGATGGATTTAGCATTTACCGAAATAATGAACAAAAGCATTTTGTAGGAAAGATCAAGGGCTTGGTTTGGAATATGTATAATTTGATATGCCTATTAGACATCTAAGAGGAGATGGAGAACAGAGAGTTGAACCTACCAGTCTAGTTTCAGAGAAAGGTTTGGGCTGGAAATACCACTGCTGGAGTATTCACGATACTGCTAATAGTGAAAACCCTGGGACTCGATGGGAGCACCAGAAGAGCAAATGCACATTTATTTAAAATGGAGTTGTCTATTTGACAAACACAGACTCCAGCACTGTTCTCAGTGCTCTGTACTGACTGATTTAATTCTCATAGTAATAGAAGATAGGCAGTATTATTTTCCTCTTTTCCCAATAAGAAAACTGATTTGCCCAAGGTTAGAAGTAACTGGCTAAGAAGTGGTAGATACACTTTCTAGCCAAGGCTCTCCACCTCCAGAGTTCTTGTAGAGAAGTTATCAAAGGCCTTGAGGCTTCAGTCACCGCGTTTGGAGTTTGGGGAGATGAGAGGAATCAGCAAGTCCTATTCACAGCAGGTGACACATTCTACTTTTCCAGGAAGGATAAATATACCAATGCTTTCTTTCCCTTTATACTTCTGTATATTTTCTCTAAGAAGCACATATTAATAGAATCAGAAAAGATTGTATTAAAATAATAGGAGCTGCAGAAGGATTTTTTTTAAACCTTGCTTCAATGGGTGTTTTTCTTTCCCTAATATAGCACAGTTAAATGAGAATCTATACAATAAAAAATGATTACAAACTGCTGCGAAGCACTCTGCTTGGGGTATAAATGGAATTATAAAATTCACAGTATTTTCCAAAGAACAATTCCTGAAAGTAAAGGGGAGCACTGTTGGTTATACACTGACAACAGGCTTAGGTTAGGACTACCTAAGGCATATCTGTCACAAGCATAGGTGACTCAAGGAGCCTCTTTCTTAAGACTAGAGTTGATATAAATACAAGAAGAAGATTCCTACCTGCTCCATCACACTACCAATCATTGTTGTCACCTTCTTACTACTCATTACAGATTAAGTATATTTATTAATTTCATTACTTATTTGTCATTATTATTGCTTGGATGCTATACTAACTACTGGTTAGACTGGGTATCAGCAAAGTATGGTTATTACATTGGAGCTACTCAGGGCTCATCAGTCCTTAGGATGAGAAATAATAACAGAGGCTTCAGCCTCATTTCAAGAATTTGAAAAGAAGTTTTAAAAAGGTTAAGTATAAGTGAAACCTAATAAGAAATCACTTTATATGTGATCAAATACTATATTTATTATCATTAAAAAGAAATATCTTCATTCCTATTCTAACTTAAATGCACTAGGAAAGAAAAAACATCTTAAGTATCCTCTTCTACTTCCTAAGCTACTTTTAATATTACATAAATACTAGATTTGATGTGGAACATGTGCAAGATGGAATGGCAAAATGGAAATACAAGGGAGTGTACTGTACCTTGTTTTACCTTAAGAAACACACACCTGACAAAAGGCAATTTTCACATCCAAGGCTGGCTCACTGCAGTAGTACAATAAATGGAGGCTCATAAATACCTGCAGAGAAAAAGGAGGGGGTGACTTTTCACATCACCCAATTATTCATTACTTAACTGTACAAACTTTAATATTATTTGAATTATACACAAGGGGTCATGCACAACACATTTCAGCATGATTCTTATTCAGACTACTAATAAGTACTTTTCACAAATTATAAATATTAACTTAAAAAGAAGATAAAAATGACCTATCTTCTATAATGATCAACATCATCACAATTATAAAGAATAGATATAAGAAATTGAGTACATATAACAAATTAAAGTACATCCTATCATACAACAATTTCAGTTCTAGGCATCTAATTTTAAACATTTCTCAAACATTCATTTCAAGGGGCTATATATAAGGATGTTTATTCTATAAAACAGGGACTATTCAATAAAATGTAATTTATAATAAAATTATATTCAGGAAGTGGAATAATTGAATTAGAGTTTAAGAAATCAACATAGATAAAATTTTCAACAGGATGCTGAGTGAGGGGAAAAGCAAGTTTCAGAAGAGTATGAAAACCACTATATTATTAATATAAACTTTTAAAAATATACAAAATGATAATATACATCACTGTTAAATTACCATATAACCATAGACAAAAAAAAATATGGCACTATACAACATGGTTTAATCTTAATGGTGAATGCAAATACTTCAATTATATTATTTTCTGTATGTTTAAAATATTTTATAATTCTGTAAAGTTTTAAGGAGAAAACAAAATTTATCTAATGGTATAAATGCTAAGTTACTTGGGAATGATGAGGCAGCATCATAGAAACCCTAATGAAATCTTATCAGTTCAATTAAACACACTTTGTTGAATGTTTATTGTGTGCATGACACAATTCTGTGAGATAAAGAATTTTAAGACCACATTGACAAAAGACTTGATTCTGGCAATATGAATGAGTAGATATCCTGGAAACAACTCTCAAGGCAAAACTTCTTAAGAAGTTAGATGGAATATACAAAATAACCTTTAAAGTGCATAACTGAACTGCCCAAAAAGGCAAGAAAAATTCTGAGGTGCTGAAAACCACTTGAAAAGATCCAAGCAGGGAAGGTAATGAGTTGAAGCTGCCACTTGCCCCAGGCCATCTGCTGATGTCTGAAGACTAGAACTTTAGTTCTTAAAGGACCGCAATGCAGAGTACAGGAAACAAAGCTTCGAATCTACCTATGGGGGGAAATCCCATGGCGACCCCTGCCAAATGTTTCCCATAGGGAGTTTTAAACACACTTCTAAACCAGCTAAACAATCCCAGAAAAAAAGATCTGAATTTCAAGAAAAAAAATATTTCACATTGGAACTTGTGCAGATTTTTAAATAAGAAGAATGAAAGGACAAGAAACAGTAAGATGTTCCTGAAGAAAAACAAGGTGGGCATTTGTCTGTGGGGAGGTGGGGGCAAGCAGGGAATTGCTCTACCACAGACTGAGGTTTGTTTTTTAAAGCTCTAATAATTAAAGTTATGTAGGGTTGATGCAGAGATAGACTATCAATTAGAGATAGACTTGAGAGCCCAGAAACACACATACAAATATGGAAACCTGATTATATTATGTTTTGTTAATATAGTCTCTTAAATCTAATGATATTAAAGTATCTCAGAAAAAAGAAAGTGTGCATTAAGTCCTGCTGAGACAAGTGGTCGTGAATACAAGGCAGGGGCAGAGAGAAAGCACATCCCTGTTGGGGGATAATCCTCTGTGGGCCTCTCACATTTCTGCACGTGTTGCAAACAGAAGCACTGGATGCCTTTACTCCAGACTATCTTCTTAAGGATGGTTATACAACAAACAGCCTTGGAAGAGAGAGACAGTGTCTCCCTCCGGAGCAAAAGGCCAAGTTTGATTCTTTACCAGTATAACATAGATAAGGTATCCCTCTGGGGCAAAACATAAGGCATGCTTACTATCCATTATAAAAGGTTTGGATTCCCTTAGGATGGAGTTCCTCTTCTATAACCTAACTACATGTGCAGCTGTTACTTGACCTTCTTTGAGTCCCCCTGTGAGAATTGGGGCCTGAGAAATTTAGTATTTATATTTTTATGCTACTACAAATGGCATAATTTTCATTTTCATTTTCCAAATTCTCATTTTTGTAAATGACCTTATATTTTACAATAAATCCATGTGTTACATCTAGTGAATTTTTGGTGAGCACTGCAAGAGAAGACAGTTTTTACTTTTCTTTTCTAATTACTTTGTCAGTCTGCTTTTGCTTGCCTAATTTCAGTACAAAGTTGAATAGAAATAATGAGATGATGTTATGTTTGCTGATGACCTCAGATGCATGTATGTGTTTACATTTAAGGTAATCATGAATGTTATTGAGTTTAAATCTACCATTGTACTATTTGTTCTGTATTTTATATTTATATTCTTTTTTTATTGTCTAAAGTTTTATATATGTCTCCTTTTTCCCCAAATGACACCCCTCCCCCCAGGCCATTCCTACCCAGGACAAGCCCCCACCTTCCCAGTGTCTCTTTCCATTGGTTTTGCTAATATGCATGCAGACAAGTCCTTTGGTTGCTCTCTTACCCCCACACTACCATTTGTCTCTGGATCTGTTCTTGTTTGTCAAATTATGTTGATCATTATATCCCACGTATGAGTGAGATTATGTGATATTTATCTTTCTCCAACTAGCATATTTCACTTAGGATAACGCTCTCCAGTTCCATCTATGCTGTTGCAAATGGTAAAAGTTTCTTCTTTTTTTATAGCGGCATAGTATTCCATCACAATACCAGATATCAAGCTATATTACAAAGTCACTGTTCTCAAAACTGCCTGGTACTGGCACAAGAACAGACATGTAGACCAATGGAACTGAACAGAGAACCCAGAAATTGTCCCACGCCATTATGCTATTAGTATTTGACAAAGGAGGCAAGAGCAATACAGTGGAGTCAAAACAGTCTCTTTAATAAACATGCTGGGAAATTTGGTCTGATACACGCAAAAAAAAAAAAAAAATGAAACTAGATCACCCACTTACACCCATGCAAAAACAAACTCAAAATGGCTAAAGGACTTAAATGTAAGACGGGAAACCATAAAAATCCTACGAGACTCCATAGGCAGCAAAATACTCTTTTTTAAATCTATTCATTCTCCTACCCAGCCTTTTTTTTTTTTTAAAGAACTGTGTAGCTTTATGTTTTCTATTTTATTTTATATAATAGCACCTTAGTTATACTTCTCTTTTTTCTTCTTTCTACTGGTTGTTCTAGAGTATATCACCTGCATTTTTAATTTTTAGTAATCTAGCATTAAACAATATTATTCCACTTTACATATACCTTTAAAAATTTACAATAGTATACTTCAATTTCCCCTATAGTCCTTTGATATTATGTCATATATTTTACTTATACATGTTTTATAAACACCATAACACATTGATATTATTTTATTTATTCACATGTTTTCAGTTATAGTCCTTTTATATCTTTATGGTTTTTTTTAAACATTTATGTTTTTACAAATGGTTTTATAATTTTATTTCCATTTTCCTAATGCTCATTTCCAGCATTTAAAATATGTTGTTCCATTGTCGTTTCATGATCTTGTCACATGCATTAAATGGGGATATTTTTTCCTCAGTCTTATCACAGCACTTTGCTTACAATATCATGACTTTCATTCATATGTCTGTCTCATACTACAGTATTACCTTCTCAGGGAATGTGATTGTGTTTTATTCATGTTAACAACTTCAAGACCCAGCATTATCCTGAGTATACAGTTACTGTCAGGCAAACGTTTATTAAATAAAAGGAGAATCAAATTTAAACCTTGCCTTCTCTAGCACAAATCTAAGTATCTTCATTGTCTCCGCAGATTGAGATTTGTCAGTTTTCAATAACGTTGATGGTAACAAATTAAGCATGAGGAGCTTGCGGCAGTGGAAGACGGGCTGCCCAGCAGGACTCTCTTTGTTCTCTGCTGCTGACCTGGACATGTGGGAAATAGCATCCAGCCCATCACCTGAAGTGAGCAATGCATTTTAATTTTTAATGAATGAATAATCTTGCTAAGAAAAACAAAGCATCCTGACCTTCCCTGGTTTGCATTATAAAGATTTCAAATATAACACCATGACTAAGTCCCTTAGTCACTGCAGAACCCTCCACAAAGGGACAAAAAGAAAGAGAATGTTCAGTATGATAACCTCAGTGAATTACAGAAATTTAATTTGGTAATTCTACTTCCTGATAGCGTGGCAGAGATTTGGCACCCATGCATAGAAGCAACACACAAGGCAGGGCATTATCTCAATAGTAGTCTAAAGTGAAATTAGTGACAATATCTTGGTGCCATATAGGACCCGTGAGGAGCTTGCAAATGGGAGGGGATAATAACTGGGAGTTTAGTGCTTTCAACTACTGGTTGTTCTCCTGGGAGAAGCCCCAAATGTGCATTCCTTACTGTGTACTGTTCTGAGATTTTCCTCATTACATGCCTATATGAGTTAATGATTGCTCTGAGCAACGCAGTCAGCCAAGTTGTATGAATGAAATACACTTAAGAATTTATTAGGTTGAACTGGTACAGAGAAGCTGCTATAAAAGAATGCAACTATGGCGCACTTTAATAGCTTAGATCAATACTTAGATTTTTTTGTATGCAAGATGTGCCAACTAAACCACAGGAGGGTTGAAAACCTTCACAGATGCAAAAAATCAAATTGTTCTGGGCAACTCCAGGATCCCACGGTTTGTCACTGAAATGCAATATATACAACGAAAAACCAAATGAACTATTGATTACAAAAAAAAAAAATTAAGTTCCAGTAGCTTCTAAGCTTAATTGGTATTTAACAAACTCATTATATATAAATTATTTTTGTATTTATTACAAGTGACTCTCTCAACAGTCTAAAAATGTGTATACAGTATTCATTGTTAATTACAAAAAACACTCTGTATCTTCTATGCCCAAAAGGAATCTCCAAACTATGTGCAATATATATATAT